CGGATGAGAGGATGCATAGGAAGAGAAAATAATTTCTTTCTGTGCATCCTCTTCACCGTCGATGAAAGATAGGCAACGCATATGCAATTGCGTATGTCTATGGGCAACGGTCACTTCGCTATTTCAGCGATTTCAGGTGACCGCTCGCTCGTTTGCCACCTTATGATATAAAAAAAAACTTCATATTAGAGATATATGTCGAAATGGACCTCAAATAAGAGATTCTTCATTCACAAGTGACAATAAAGTGTATTTACTTCTTATAAGTCGTATAGCAGTGGTGGTGACCTGCACCATGTACTTGTTATTGCCGAGGTTGCCGGCGAACACAGTGGGCGCGCCCGTCATGAACCCTGAGTTGTCCACCTCGTTGATCTCTTGACCAGTTTGTAGGATCTATTGTATAAAACATTGCGTCATCAACTGTATCTCCATACATCTCCATACGCTTATTTTCTTTTACTCAATCTATCCATACTTTCTTTGGTTTTCCTCTACATTTTAAACATAACTTGTTATAGACAAATAAAATCCATTCATTCTATTTATTCCATCTAAAGATACATGCAAATTAATTTGAGCTTTTAACAATTAAGTCAAGACTTAATTTTACGCTTGTTCTTAATAAACAAAACGTGCAGTGTAACCTTGTTTTAATAGTAAGGTACATTATGTACATCATCATCATCAGGTCACTATACGTCCCCACCGAGGGGCTCGGAGCATACCCTAAGTTAAGGGTGATTAGGCCATAGTCAATCACGCTGACCAAGTGCGGGTTGGTTGACTTCACACATATCTTTGATTTTCTTCTTAGATATGTGCAGGTTGCATCACGATATTTTCCATCACCGTAAGTACGTCGGATAAATGTACATATGTAAATCGGAAATGGAAAAACATATTGGTACATGGCGGGATTCGAACCCAGAACCTGCAGATTGCAAGTCAAGTGCTTGACCACTGAGCCACCGACGCTCCCATGTACATAGGTATATGAATTACAAATTATAAATATAATTTGACAAGTAATGTAACACTCACCATACTTGAGTCTTCTTGTGTAAGTATTAAATATGCATGTGAACCTTCAGTATCTCTTGCCTCGCGACCCTCACTCTCTCCTATCACTGTCCACATGTCGATACATCCTGACGGAAATACATATAGATAATATAACTCTCAACTCACAAGTTAGTGCCTATATTAGTTTATATATTGACTTATATTGGACCATATTGTTGCTTATAAGTTCACATGAACTTATAAGTTCACATTAACTTATAAGTTCACATTAACTTATAAGTTCACATTAACTTATAAGTTCATGTGAACTTATGTGGTGTGATATAAGTTCACACGGTCTTATACGGTGGGTTATAAGTTAATACAGATTTATATATTGGGTTATAAGTTGACATGGACTTATGCTGTGGGTAACAACTTTACACGAACTTATTTGGATAAGAAACTGAGTTATTGCGATGGCTTATAGTAGCTTAAGCCAATGCTTAAGTCACTACTTGTAATTACGTGTACATTGGTTTACAGTGAGTGATGGTGTGTGATATCGTGTGTTGCTCACCAGGCAGATGGAACGCGGTGACCAGCTGCGGTCGCACAGAGCGCTGCAGCACGGAGAGCGCGCCGTTCTTGCCGCGGCCGCTGCACGCCACCAGCTCCAGCTCCGTACCCTCACGTCTCTCTTCTTCCCCCACCAGCTGAGGCTCGCCCATTGATATGTCCCCGATAGGACAGATGTTTAACAGAGAGTCGCATACCTATAAATCAAAGATACGGTCTAAATCAAAAACAAGACTTAAAGGAGACAATATTTTTATGCCGAAGCCATATGCGAAAGTTTAAATGCATGAATGGATGGATGGATGTTTGTAAGAAGGTATATATATATATTTTTATATCATAAGGTGGCAAACGAGCGAGCTGCCACCTGAAATCGCTGAATTAGCGGAGTGACCGTTGCCCATAGACATACGCAATTGCATATGCGTTGCCTACCTTTAATCGACGAAGGAGAGGATGAATGGAAAGAAAATATTTTCCCTTCCCGTGCATCCTCTCATCCGGAAAGTCCGTTTCCACTTCCCATCCTTTCCCTGTAAGAAAAACGGTGGGAAGAGAAAGAGGACTAAATTAAGCCTCCGGGACGCACACTCATCAGACGAAACGCGGAATAGCTTCCACTTGACGCGTGTCTTCTGTGTGGTGTCAAGTACGGATGCATGGATCTGAATGAAATTTGTTACAGATGTAGAATACTAACTGCATGAACACATTGACTACTATGTTTATTTTAATTTCCTTGCAGACGAAGTACTATAATAAGATTGGGACATTATATAATATTACCTCAAACACATAACTGGTAAGTTGAGTTGACGTCCGTATATCAGATCCATATACTTCTAATTCATCTTTATCACTAATCTCTATAACATTAGTGGGTAGGCAGTCGCTGATTGTATCTAGACGTCGTTTCTTAGCTGCTGGATCCTGGACCTCCTTTTGTCCTGCTTCTTTGTTGGTTGTTGTTGTGTTTGTTACGTTTGTTGTTGTAGGTGTATCTTTATCTGTAAATAATATGGTCCTTCAAGCAGGATATAAAGTACATTTACGGCAAAATTTTCTATACTGAATAACTTTGGACAGAGATTTTAAACCATTAACACGGTGAAAAGTAATTGGTAAAATTTAATGATAAATAGCTCTAGTATTAACAGCATTAATTTTGGTCATTTACAGAGTCCATCTTACTAATATTATTCCGCGCGGACAGAGTCGCGGTCGACGGCTAGTATGTACAAGGTACTCACCAGTTTCAGTCATCGTGAGATCAACAGTGGCCTCCAGAGGTTTGTCGACAGAGAACAACATTCTATTCTCCCTCTCTGTCACTCGCAACAGCAACGAATTACCCAATCGAGAACCGAGGAAGAGAAAGTCTTCCTCTATCACACACATCTGACAAACGACAAGTACATAAGTACATCATTGATGTAATTAAAAACCATTTTACAACCATGAGAATCAAACTGTAGAATATGACTCCAGGATTTAAGGAATCCTGTTTCTGGAAGCTACACTTGGTGCCATGAAGACTTACACATGAGGTGAGCACGGACGCCGCAGCCCTGTCGAGATGGAAGCTCCTGACGCTGCGCACGGAGTCCGACAGCAGCGTCAGGACGTACAGCTGACCGCCGCGCAGCGCCAGCGCCAGCCGGGACTCCCCCAGCGCGGCCACCCTCGCCCCGTCCAGTGTTATACACACGCCTTCTTGTATTCCTGCGACAAAATACATCATTATAGCACATCAAAACTGAACTTGTCGTTAGCTTAAATAGAAATTATAAGTCATTTTGGACTTCTGGTCCTTCGAGCCGGATATAAAATTTTATTCAACTCTGAGGGCGGTTATTAACTTTTTATCTTATTTTATATTCAATATTTTAATTATTTTATATTAGGCGATTCGTTGCTCGTTTGCCCTCTTCTCCTATAAAAAAAATTACGTTAGTCCCTACTGTCATTTGGTAACTTAAGTATACGAATACTTACTTAGCGGGAAGTTAGTTGTATGAGTAGCAATACTATTCAGAGAGACGCCGTAAGGTGGCACCGACTGGTTTAAATAAATCAATGAATTCACAGCCAAGATCAAACAACCACCTGTAAACAAGTTTATTTTTTTTCTATTCCGAAGGAAATGGAAAAGTATGTTTTAGTAACGCCAGCTCTATTACTTTTACCTATTTCAATTTGTCTTCATCTAAATCTTGAAAGTAACCTTTTCTTCAATACTCATCATCATCAGCTCACTATACGTCCCCACCGAGGGGCTCGGAGCCTAAGCTAAGTTAAAGGTGATTAGGCCATAGTCAACCACACTGTCCAAGTGCGGGTTGGTTGACTACACACATATCTTTGAATTACTTTGAACACATTGGTACATGGCGGGATTCGAACCCAAGACATGCAGATTGCAAGTCAAGTGCTTGACCACTGAGCCACCGATGCTCCTCCTTTCTTCAATACTACATGTACTAATATTATAAATGTGAATTTTTGGATGCATAGATGTATGAATAGATATTTGTTAGAAGATATCTCCGGAAAGGCTCAACATATCTTGCTGAAATTTGCCATAGATGTAGAACATAGTCTGGAAGAACACACAGGCTACTAATTTCGATCTTTAATCCCCACGTGGACGGAGTCACGGGCGTCAGGTAATGCATAGTAGTATTCTTACCAAGTGGTTTCTGTACCGGAATAGCTTGTATACAATCAAAGGGCAATCCCGCTGTTGCCCAAATGACCGGATGCACTCGGGCAGACATGTTCAGACTGACACCGGCCATGCAACATGTGTCACTGCGCACTGCTGTACGACTATTAGGAAATACTTCAATTTATCATCATCATCAGCTCACTATAAGTCCCCAAAGAGACACTCGGAGCCTACCCTAAGTTAGTGACTAGGATATAGTCAACCTGGCACAGTGCGAGTTGACTTCACACATATCTATGAATTTCTTCTCAGATATGTGCAGCAACAAATGTTTTACACATTACTACATGGCGGGATTTGAACCCAGAGACATGCAGATTACAACTCAAGTATTTTAACCACTGAGCCACCGACGTATCTATTGCCTGTCCATTTAATAAAGGTCAGTGTGTTTAACTCTTAATGAACATTAAATTACTCAGTTAGTAGGATTAAGAGAAATCAGAAGCTAAATATCAAATATATAGACTCACCCTGGAAATGTTCTTACTGGTTCATATAATAACAATAATGTAGGTTCATAATATCCATAAAGAAACTGAATGTCTAGAATATTGTCTATCTTTTCATCTAAATCTTTAAGCACTATAACATAAGAGGCTAGAGTTGGTGACTTTGTTATTTGTTGATTTGGTTGCTGGAACAAAACAATATCATGTTAAGTATAGTCTCCGGAATGGCTAGACGGAAATCACTGAATTTTTTTTTAAATAAAATATTAGAAGTTTTTTTACAAATTTACTAATATTTCTGTTACCATTCCAACTAAGCTTTACGCTTGTCCTAGGATATACTACTATAGTCGAATGACGGGATTCGAACCCCCGACCTCATAATCGGAATTCCGTACCCTTAATCATTAGGCTATTGACGCTTTTCAAGATTTAGATTTGGGCATAGATGTAGAACGCATAGGCTACTAATTGAGTTTTTATACTGCCATATATAAGATATCTTGTAGCCTACTTACAATAATGTTGTTCTTTTTTAGTGTCTCAATTGACATCATCAGCTACCAAAGCTAGCTAGCTTCATTTGTCAAAGAATACCGGAGCCAGCCTACCTTGATTGTCTTTTGCTTACTAATGTTTTAAACTGGACATTGGGGTCCATTATTAATTAATAGAAGAAGAAGACTTACAGTAACTACTTACATTCTTTTTACTATCAACAAAAGGTTTAGCTTCCAAAGGATCACCCTCTTCTGATGTAATATCTTTTCTGAACGGCAACACGGCTAACTTCTTGCCGTACAATAACATCACAGCACAACGGAATTCAGGGTCCACTCGTATCCATGGAATATGTGGATGAGTTGTCCATCCACCCTGTAATTTAATAAAGAGTGTATTGAGACAGATATTAAATAACCCTTTTTTACTACATATGATACATACACCAAAAATTTTGTTTTTTAAATTTTTGTATGTCTGTTCGAGCTAATCTCTAAAATGGCTGAACCAATTTTGATGATATTTTTATTGGCAGGTAGCTAATGTAATAAGGATTACTTTAGGTTATATTTACTGTAGAAAAATCTTTAATTTTAGAAAAATAAAGTACTGTTGTCCCGGCGGCCTAATTTAGTTCTCTTTCCCTTCCCACCCTTTTTCTTACAAGGAAAGGATGGGAAGTGGAAGTGGACTCCCCGGATGAGAGGATGCATGGAAAGGGAAAATATTTTCTTTCTGTGCATCCTCTCCTCCGTCGATTAAAGGTAGGCAACGCATATGAAACTGCGTATGTCTATGGGCAACAGTCACTTCGCTATTTCAGTGATTTCAGGTGTACGCTCGCTCGTTTGCCACCTTATGATATAAAAAAATTAAGAAGAAATTACCTTCATGTCATCCTCTTCAAAGTAATGCATACTTAGAGTAACTAAATTATTAATCTGTGGATCATATTGAACTATTGAAAGCTTGGCTTCTTTGAATGACAGCAGAAGTAGATCCCTTCCAGCACTTGCACATTTCACTGACGCAATGGACATTACGTTGCCCCACAATGTGTATGTTGCGAGACATTCCAATTTCATCTTTGGCGGTATTGGCTGACCCGCTAGAAATAAAACAAAGGATCATAGATTTTTTTCAAATAAATTAAGTAGCAGATAAGTAGAACTACTGTATTTAAGGACTTGTTGGCTACTTACCCGCATTAACTTCCTTCGTATGTCCTTCGGGCATCAGCCGAAAGACTTTGATAATATTAGCACCGGCGGTTACCAAACAGCTCTCATCGTTATTGAAGAAGCAACAGCTAATTGCATGCTCAATCCCCGTAGCGGGATGAGTTTGCCGACAAATCGAAAACATTTTTACGAACCACAACAAGCTTTTTGTAGGTTAAACCACTAAGTTACTTTATATTTAAGATACTTTAACTTATCTACAAAGACATAACATAGTAACGCAAAGAATTTTTTACAGTAAGGCTATTGTTATATGTTTCATAGAAATTTAATTTAAAACAATCATTCAACTTTGAAATTGTTGTAACAGCTTCTGTTTGGCAATACAAATTATATGACATTTATGTCAAGACTGGTCAAGACTGACAATCACACAACATTACTGAATACAGATTAAAGAAAAACAAATGTCACTTTTTTACAAGAAAAAAGGTCTAAGATAAAAAAACTCAAACCCGCGAGTTTTTGCAACTAACGCAGATATTGCTTCCAGATATTAAATAAATACATTTAGAACCAATCCGTTGACACAAATTAATCTAGGTATATACTGTTAAACATAACTTTCCATAGTATGCAATCCATCCACTGGTTTCTCCATTGAGCAATCAACTTTTCTAAACATTTCACGTACTTAATATTCATTTCCTCTTCCTAATGTACGTTTAATTCATAACTTTTCCATATATTTATTATTAACTTCATATTACCATACCAAACATAAAAACCAATCCTCATAAAATCATGTTATGATTGTTGAGAATGTATGTGTCTGTGTATAAGACCAACATTGGTTGGTAGCTATTGCATAAAATCGGTAGATCTTGAAAAGAAAAGGCATAGGTTAAAATACAAAATAATACAAACCATGGCAATTAAAAAATACTTTATTTTGTAAATAAAAATGATATTTCATATGATTCAACATTCACAACGTCATAATAAAATTCGTGAACATTTTATACTAAGCATTATCATTTGTTATAGACGCACTATAAAGATTTTAAATAACTTCATTTTTTAGTTGAAAAAAAAATAAGTGGTCCTTTCATAACAATACACCATTTTCTGCAGACCTTAAATATCTGTACCAATTTGAGAGAACAGCATTTTTTTATATTTTACTACGTACTTATACTTTTATTAGTCATGAACTTCAACTCTTTTAGGACATATTAGGATACTATTCGATATTTCTGTTTTTTTTTCAAAGACAATTAGTGGGATGGCTATATTGACAGGTCACAGATGATGTGATGCTGAAAACTCACAATCATGATTAAATGTAATAAAGTAGTTCTAATTAAAATTTTAAATAAGACTCTTACGAAAATTTTATGAGTGAAATTATATTTTTATTGACCATAGACATAAAAAATAATTTTTTGTCTATTGTCTTCCAAAAATTGGATATGTTTGTATTGCTTAAATGTAATTTGTACATATTTCAAATTAGTGTTTGCAAGATAATATAGGAACTAATTATTTTAGAAATAAAATATTTACAAACCAATAATTTTTGTCATAAGGAATGTTTAGGAATTCAAATAAGGGATGTTATTTTTGACACAACGGCATTAATCTAAATAATTATTACAATCAAATTCTACTACTAGAATACAAACTAGAAAATCAGTACTAAAACAACTAAATAAATTCAAAAATCACACCCCACAATCAAAGTCATACCGCATTTCATTTAACAAAGAAATAAAATATTTATTCAAAAACCTATACATTTCAGTCTTCACCCATTACCAAATGTTCCCACTAATTGCCACTCCACTCAGCCGACCTGCACATATCAGCGAGAAGTTCATCAAATTCAAGAACTGAACTCTCGTATAACTCCAAATCCTTGGATAAATCCTCACCACCTATTTCCAATTCCTTAACATCTATATCCTTGCTGACTTGCTGTTGTTCTTCTGTCAATTTCAAATGTGGTGCATTGAAAAAATCTTTGTAAAACTCTGCCAATTCACGTATCGGATGATTATCAGCGAAAGGAAAATGAAGTAATTTCAATGGAGGTTCATTTTCACCACGGAACCCTGAAAACTTCTTCGGTGGTAACTCCAATGATGTTGGACTCTTTGACATAATCGTGAGATCCAAATCCTGAGTACTCTTTGATTCCATCGCTTTGTCTTTGATTGGTGTTTTTGGTCTTGGATATTTTTTGAACTTTGGCATTGGAATTTTTTCAAAAAACTCATTAACCGCTTTCTGTATAATCACTTCGTCGGCGAATGCAGCTAAACGTAATGGTTTGTTCAAATCCACTGGTCTGGAAGGTTTTACGTCTTTCTCTTTAATTATTTTAGTCTTTTTAGACTCAAAGATAACATGTTTCGGACTCAACTCAAAGTGGTCACTCTTTAAAAGCAATGTTTTACTTTTTTCCGATCTATTTGGTGATATTGAGAAGTTTGTACGATATGATACCGTAAAACATAATCCCCCTAAAGGTGTCTTTAACATTCCCGCTTGGATTTTCTTAACAGAGTCCCCCAATGCTTTGAGTTTTGGTTCACCGTTATAAACTCTGTAGAATATAGTAAAAGATTCGGTACGTTGTTTTCTTGACAAGTGATACGCTGGTGTTATTCTACTTATCGTAATAACCGACTTCAGTAGAATGCCCATTCTAAAATACACCGTATTCATTGCCTTTAAGGATGTATCAAATTGTGCTTCATCTAATTCCAAAGTCCACAACTCTAAAACCATTTCATCACCATCTTCCGTTTGCACTGATATTTCAACATGGAGTTGTGACCTTATAGTTTCTAATATCTTATCCGATGGCAATGCATTCTTTGTCGCCTGATTGACTTCAGGTGAATCCGGTATTTGTAGATTGAACCAATCGGAGTCTGTTGTCCTCGGTTTACTGTTGGCTTCTATTTTGACACCTTTTCTCGATTCTACTACAATTTGTACACCTTTGTACGCAAGGAATTTGGCAAACTTCGTGAATTCGTTCTTATCACTTATATTTGAGAAGGCCGCGTCAGGCGCCATGGCTATACTATTTTTATTTTCGTCTATCTACGTTTTACTGTCTACAAAATTCTATTCCTCTTCAGCGATACAGTTTTCCACAAGGTTCCTTAGATTGGGATTCTCCATAGCGGCAGCAATCCTCTCTTTGTCATTGATTTGTTTGTTGACTGAAACAAGAAGACATACATACAGATTATTCCATATTTAACACACATTAGAAATAACACAATAAATATTATATCAGAAAAAATATTTTAAAGAATTGTAATTTATATGTATTAAAAGAAATAAATGAATGTTTAAAATTCTGAATAGCTGCAACTTTTTTGTTGAGTTTGTTATTATTGCAGGTTTTTTTTTATATCAGTAGGTGGCAAACGAGCGAGCGGCCACCTGAAATCGCTGAAATAGCGAAGTGACCATATACTTGATATACGTAATAAAAAATTAAGAAATATCGGTTCTAAAATTAGTTCTTAGTTGAATATATATAAGCTATTTTAACTGTCTTTAGTCAAAATCATCATTTATTTGGGGCATATTTATTTTTGACGATATATCATTTTAAAGTTTGCTCATTGTAGTCATGTGATTTCATAATATTATTTTATATCTTAAGTAGATAATAAAGTTCAGTTTCACTGATACCGCTGATATTAGGTTTCCACTGCCAAAATATTTAAAAACATTATTATCACTCTCATATTAAAAAAAAAAAAGGAGATAGCAACATGTTTCTGGAACAACTGTTGGGTCAGCGGATATTTGTAGTAAAAAAAGTTTTATAAACATGCTTATTATTAAATAGAGTTTACTTGCGACTTCGTCAGGGCGAAATTAAAAAAAAACATGCTTTTTTTAGCACACATTAGCTACCATCCATTAAAAGACAAAAACGCAGATTTGCAGACAGACAGACAGATCATCATCATCAACCTGCCCTTATCCCTATCGAGGGTCGGCACAGTATGTATCCTCCATACATCTCTACCAGCAGTCATACTTTTTTTGGTCTTCCCCTACCCTTGTAGCGATCCACATAGAATCTCATTACTTTTTTGCTTATATCATCATCATCCCTCCTTATAACATGTCCAAACCACGCTAATCTTTTACTCCTCAATTTCTGAATCACTGACGCTACTTACAAACTTCCTCTAATATACACATTTTTAACTTTATCCTTTCTTGTCACACCACACATCCATCTTAGCATATGCATTTCAGCTACATGCAATTTTCTTTCATCCTGAACCACAGATAATAACTGGATTTTCATTATATTTGATTGTGATAACAGCATGGTAATTACATCATGATTGTGAATTACGATATTTTTTATCTGTGCTATAAACAGACACTCAAGTAGATGAATAAATTATCATCATTTAAAAAGAATCCATAAAATCACATGAAATAAGAAGTTCATCAACAAAATAAAGAAATTATAAACACATATTATTTTTCCTATATAATATCAAATGTCAATATCCTTTTTATTTGCATTTAATTTAATTAACAATTAAGATATGAACAAATTTGCATATTACGTTTGTGTAATCTATTTTGTTTGTGTAATCTAATTGTAACTTTATTTACAGAAGCTTTATTATATTAATTACAATAATAATAAACATCATAATTTTATTCAATTATTTATATGTTATTATGCAATCCTATTAATCATATAAAAGTGAAAGTTAACATAGTCTGAAAGAATGCATAATACTAAACATTTTTTTAATTTCTCACTGATAAATTTGCAGGCTAAAGCTAGTTAAAGCTACTAACAAAACAAATAAAATAAAACTGAATTAAAGTCAAAACTTGGGTCTACAAAAGAAAATATATTTTAACAACTATCAAGATTATTTTGGAGTTTAAAAAATAAGCTTGAATAGGAATAGCTACCTATATATATATATATATATATAATGTGATGTACGATTATTATTCTATCATTAGTTCCAAGACTTGCTATTGCAGATATATAATAGCAAATGACCTAACTACTTATGACCTCAATATTTACAAATAAATAGAAACCAAACACAGCATATATAAAGTAAAATGCATACTCTGTTTTTAGATAAAACCTATTACATCAACAACATTAATGAACTGTCCGCGCAGAATTAAATAAAAAACGTAATAAGTAGTTTATGTGTTCTTCCAGATTATACTCTATGCCAATTTCATCAAGAGCCTTAAATCTTGGTTTGGACCTTTAAACAAACATTCACCCATCCATCCATATTTACAATATTAGTGAGATTTATAAACATTTTTCATAAAATGGAATGTAAAAAGAAAGTTATTTGTTGCAAATAAATGAACTTATTTTCTAAATAAGACCTTAACTCACAGTTATAACCAAAAGGGGTAGGCAGAGACCATATAGCTCAGTTTGGCTCAGTTGTGACAGACCTTTTGTTTCTTCTACATTCATATAAGTACTTTTATATGTACCTATTGGTTTCAGATAATTAAACCAAGTAATTCTGGTAAATTTTGACTAAATTTCCGGTAAAAAATATTAGACTTAATCGAAATGAATGGTGTTACATCTTATGTTTGTTAATAATGATTAAAAACCTTAGTTTTAATTTAAATATTGAAATTATATCTGAAATGTTTACATTTTGAAAAGTTTATAGAATTTTTTGTAATCTGATAAACCACAAGTGTATTAAACATTCATTTATCTGATAAAATATAACAAAACCTTTGTTATTCAAGGAATTGTCCATTTTCCTTGTTACCAAGGTCTAACAAATATTACCTTAAGGTACTTTAAGTACATGGAAAGAACTAGAAAGAAAATGTAGTTTTACTCACTCTCATCTTCAGTAGTATGGGCTCCTTTTTTGATGAAAACATCAAGTTTCACAGGGTGATGTAAAGAACGGAGTATTTTGATCCTTATGCAAAGTCCAATCAATGTTGCTAGCGAACAGTGGGGCACGGTGGGATTATATTCCACTCGAAGAACAGGTACTTTATCCGCTGTAGGCTCCTTGACGAAGATTCCTTCTTCGTAAACAACTTTCAAGTCCTCCAATGTACTTGGCTTCTCCGGGTCTCGTATTGTCCTCAAAAAGTCTAAAACACCACAACACTCGTTAGAAATCACAGTAAATCCATTCAAAACCACACAAAATAATAAACTGACCATAAATCGTCTCTCTCAACTCATCGTCGTCTTTGTAGCCGAGCTCTTGTAAAGTTGCACTTTTGTCCATATAAGCTGGCTTGGCTAACTCCACGGAAGAATTCTGAGTGTTGTTTAATGACAATTTAGAAAAGAATGATAACATATCGTTTAATAATGGCTATGAGATTGTTTTGTAACTCTGTTCAGTTCACAAAGCCAGAGGACATGTTTGTTCATTTGTTGTTTTAGAGATGTCACTTGTAAATTTTGTATCGATTTTTCAAGTTTGTATCGATTCTTCATGATTCCTCTTACTTTATCTTTTTTTTTTTAATTAATTAAACCGTCCGCAACATTGATAAAATGTTATTTTTTTTGTATATCCTAATATTATTGTTGCTTAGTTCCGCTATCACATTGAGACATTTTGAATGAAAAAATCATTAAGTTATGAAAATAAAGCAAGTTTTTATTGCTTTACTGTTTTTCTATTAATTCCAAAAATCAACTCTTTTTATTTTGATCGATCCAGAACATTGCAAGGCTGATTTCGATATCAGCATCGCAATATTCCCATCACTATGACCTTTGTAAAGTGTAGATAATTAAAATTACAGAAAACATGAGAAAATAACATCGATACCACAGAGTAGGTCAAATAATCACATTGACTACTGCCAACAAGCCAACCAAAATTATCTTTAAAATAGTAAATTTTTGTAATTAAATTCGGTCTTTTGCTTATAAGAATTTGTTAATTCTCTTAATCGTTTTTAATTTTTTTCAATAATTTCATATCAAGATATCACGTTTATAAACCACTTGCTTTTACCACCTTTTGTAAAAACTTATTTGCGACTAAATGCTGGGGGCTAGAATTACATAGCTTCATTGAGATAACTGATGCTTTTAATAGGTAATTCAGCTATCAGCTTATGTTCCCACATACATATCCTTATTTTTTTTTTTTTTATATCTAAGAATCATGACTAAGTGACTCGAGTCTACCCTAAGTTGGCTATAACTAGACCTTAGTCAACCATGCTGGCTTAATGCCGACTTATGAAACTGTACAATTTATGTAGGGTAATGAAAAAATCAATTTTACTTATAAAGTAACTTTATTACATTAGAATTTTTTGAATGACTTCTTGGAGCCCTTGCCTTTGGACACCTTAAGGACATTGAATCTGACAGTTTTGGAGAGGGGTCTGCATTCACCGATGGTCACGATGTCTCCTAGTTCAACGTCCCTGGAAAGTTAAAATTATACATTTATTAGAGATAGTTTTATTTAAAAATTAGGTGGTTAGTTATAAATTGATCAGAGTTTGGGTTAAAACACTTTCGTCGTCATGTTGTGGTCAGAAGACCGTCGTGTGGGTATCATCATTTAGAAAACAGAAATTATATTTCCTTATAGACCCTACCAGAGGTGTAAATCAGCTTTGAATTGGCTCTAAAGTTCAGGTCATATTGAGCCATAACTAAATTGTCACTGATTGAAACCTTCAACTGATTTGCAGGTCATAAATTTTCATTGAGTTCCTTATGATCCCTTACATTCCCCTCTATTTTACCATGCCTAGTCTTCTGTGATGTGTGGGGATGGATGGTGATGGGATCTAGAAGATAAAGCCCGGCAAATTTTAGTCTAAAAAGAGAAAAAATGCCTCATTTGTGTTGTATTAAAAACAGTGTGTACAAACCTGAAGCAAGGCGAGAGATGCACAGACATGTTTTTGTGTCTCTTCTCAAATCTGTTGTACTTCTTGACATAGTGAAGGTAATCACGGCGGATGACAATGGTGCGCTGCATCTTCATCTTCTGCACGACTCCGGTAAGGATACGGCCTCGGATAGACACATTGCCAGTGAAGGGGCATTTCTTGTCAATGTATGTGCCTTCAATTGCCTGTAGATAACACTATGTTATTTAAAAGTGTTTTTGCGATAGTATTTTACGTGATTTTTTTTTGGAATATCGTTGAAAATGTTGTGTTTACATTTTTTTTTCTTAAATATAACTATCTATTAACGTTTGTAGAAATAGCAAGCTAGAAACATTAATTTGTATTGAACTTAAGTATTTTACAACAAGCTTTATATTCAGTTTTAGCTGCTTTATAGTTTTTGTAGCATATAATGCTTAAATATACAGTAAATAGAATTACTAATGCATTTAGCTTTTTGTAGCGATAATCAAGCAAATTTGCACTATAATAGCGAAGTTATAATTTTCTACACAACATTTTCAACGTATAAAAATCAGATTTTGGGTTTGTAACACAATCTTCTTCATATAGTATTCAGAAGACCGTCGTGTGATTATCATCATATTTGAAGACCCTTCCCATTCTAAGCTTTCAAGATGAATTTTGTAACACAGAGAATTGTTTGAAATAAAAAATATGCTCCAATCGAAGGGAACTTCTAATAGTTGATTCAAATTATAAATTCACACTAAATTACTGTTTAGGTAACTATTAAATTCTGCAGCGGTATTATTTAAAATGAACAGTGGTCAATATCAAAACTTTATTTGTATTTAAAAAAATAAACTGCTTGAAAATTTATATATTAAACTAATATAACAATTCTCTGTATTAAAATGTAATGAGTTTTGTTGATATTTCATCAATGATGTGTTAATCAGATGTATATGACATTCATGTTATGACTTATAAGGACATTGTCCTACTAATTTTACATATAACATGCACAATATCATGCAACCTTAAGCACTTATTGAAGCGTTTGAATCCATTATGAGGGACCACCACCAACATAGAAAGAATGAAAATCTATATGTGTACTTTTGTATATCATGGACATGTTCCATGCCAATCATCTGGCAAAAATGAAAACTAAAATTGTTAAATTGTCTTCATTTTAAATTCAATCTGTCTATTTAATTATAGATCAATAGATATACAGCTTTAATAACTTTTTCCTCTGTAAAGTTGATGCTGATTATATTTAGCCAGCATTATTAAAATATATAAACTTGCCTAACAAGTTAATTTTGATTCAATAAACATGGGACATGTTAAAGTGTTGAATATATAGATGTTCATTCTTGCTATTGACAATAGACCAATGTCAACGTAGCTGAAGCCCAGCACCGAACCCAAATACTGGTATTCAGACCTCACGCGGCGTCTTGAAACCTAGACCGACATTCTTATGATGTCTCATATCCTTCCTCTTCAACCCTCCTTTACGGTTGAGGAACACCGTTGCCTGTTTCTGAAACGCTTTCTCTGTCTACAAAAAAAAAATGAAAACACACATTAGAACCACACATCATGCGTTACCTCACGCGGCGTTTTGAAACCGAGTCCCACGTCTTTGTGGTATCTGAGGGGTTTGCGGCTACGTTTCACACCAATGCCCTTCTTACGGTTCAAAAACACCGTCGGTTGCTTTTGGAATGAACGCTCAGTCTGCAATTGTTGGTAAATATTAGAACATAAACAATAAAAACTCGTTAAAATTTACTAGATAATTTAAAGGCTAAATAACTAACTGAGCGAAGAGACCAATAAAAGTATGACTATTAAAAATTAAAATAAAAACATGGAAGCTTTGGACATTTAGATAGCAAGAAGTTTTTGATAAATTTAAAATAAAAAAAATTAACAAACCTTGACATGCTACTAAACATAATTTTGTGTATAAACAAATAAGTAATACTATTCTTAACTATTGTATCCAAAATATACAACTTTTGGACAACTAAAGTAATTAAACTGAACGATAATTTAGTTTAGTTTTAAGTGATGTCTTTATGTTTGTGACTGAGGTTTAGGATGTCTTATTATAGAAATTGGGTGGACAGTTATATTTTAAGTTTTTTTTATATAATTTATGAATTACATAGGCAGCGTAGGACATGAAGAAAGGCATATGCTTCTTTTGAATAGATATTAAAAAGATTTAGAGGCTATATTAGGACTTGCTCAAATTTATAGTATAAACTTCAACTAAATGAGACTACATAAAAAAGATTATTAGGTTAACTTGAAGATAATATTTCATTTTTTAATAATAATAATATCTGAAACGGGAATATATCAATAGAATTTTAAAAAATGACCAAATAGTTTTCATAGGTTATGATTTGATTATGAATTAAGAGAACAAATTTACAACATTACCACATAATATTTATCACACTTTTTGAGTAAAATTAAATAAACCTGCTTTTATTACTGTATGATGTTAATTATTTTACACAAAAAAGCAGATAATTGGAATATTTTGCTCCCCACGTGGAAAGCGACAACAAACACATTTTCACTATAATAGTCTTCTTTTTTCACTAAATATAATAATTTCAATTATTCCACAAAAAATTGGAATGAAAGTAACATAATTTATATGGTTTTTTAACGCCGAAATTCATAATTTTATGAAGAATATCGGCACGTACCTGATCCGCCATTTTGCTTGACAAGGAAAAGAAATGTCAAAGATAAAACATAACGGCGGTCGGGCACCCATAGATAACTCATAGGTACTTGAACAGATTATAAATAATTAAAAATGGCATAACGCATAACTATTACAAGAATTCTAATTAATATATTACACCCTAACTTTGTAAAAAAACTACCTATCTTCGATAATAATAATTACAGCGCATTATCTATAATAAACGTGACCTCTCCTTTTTTAAAGTGTTTAAAAATGAGACACTTATCTAGACTTACCCCTTATACAAAATTATGATACCCATTTAGTTTTAAATTAAGAATGAACGATTAATTTTATTACTACTGTAATTTATTTTATTAATATAATTTAGTTAAAGTAACAAAAGTTCTCAGAAATTTTGAGAATTCTAGTTTCAAGTGTAACTTGTCAGTTTATGTATCGGAACATGAAACAAGATGTGCGAGAAAAAAAGTAAACATTCAACATTGTCAAAACGCGAATTGTTATGAAAATATATAACAATTTCATATTTTTCCCTTTTCAACTAAATTTTTGTAGTGTTACGCCGTTTTCTAAACTTTTTACAACTTAAGCAGTATTTTGTGTGTAAAACGTAATGGTTTAGTGTATTGCTTACAATATACGATAGTGATGACTACTTACAATTTATTTTTATTTTTATTCAATTTCGAGTAATTTTGTTTGATTCGGCATGGAAGAAGTGAGGCAGCTGGTACAGGAAGAAGGCAGGGAGGCGAGGAACCTGGTTGCATTCCACGTAGCGGTCGATACACCAAGTAAATTGCATTTTTATTTTGAAGCGACCTATTGGGAAAACGGTTTTTACTCGTGGGCGTGAAAGAATACTTGTGAAATAAAGTAGTTTTCAATTGTTTTTAACTATATAGCACCGCAATTAAGAGTTTAAAGAGTTTCTTTTTTATGTATCTGCTACACTTTCATATACTTTTATTAGAGTTAGTACTTTTGGTGATTGAATCTTGTTAGATTATTGACCAAACAAGTATTGCGCAGCGAATTTCAGGATCAATATAATTTCACTAGACCTGACCAAATTGCACTTTAATGTTCATTTTATATGTGCAGTTTTGTCAGAATGATTTTAACTAAAGATTTTTTATGGTGCTTGCATTAAAATTAATAATAATTAAAACAAAAATATTGTCTTGGAGTTTCTCACATTCATCTATTACAAAAATGTGATGATTTATTTGGTCTAAATTAGTGTTCATCCAAAAAACTAAATAGAAGGTTGAACTACAGTGAAAAACATGGACTAAAAACATTATCTTCTCTTTTCTGACAGTTCCTTTGTTTTATGTACTAACTAGCCAGCGATACCATCCATATGGAATGAAAGAAAAAACTTAATAATTAGCCTATGTGTTCTTCCAAGCTATGTTCTACATAAATGCTAAACTTCAGGGACATCCATGCAGACATTTTGAAGATACATTCTAACAAACATTCATCCATACATCCATTAGTAAGATTTAAAAATTACATTGAAGGTAAAACAGTATCATACAACTGAACATCATATTGGAAAGGGCATTATATTTTTTTTCTTATAGAAGAATAGAATTTCTAATAGTAGAAAATATTAGCAGTTATTTTATTAATATTTTAATATTCCAATTATTTTCTAGATATGGTGGAATTGCGCTAGGATATGGTTTACGACAATAGTTGAATACTGGGATTCGAACTCCCAACCTTGTGATTGAAAATCCAAACCATTAATGATGAGGATATTGGCATTTCTAATTACTTTATAATTACCATATGATAACTTGTTAAACCTATTAATAACAATGATTCAATGTTTTAAGGCAGTGAATCATAAACTATTGTTTATTAATGTAACAGTTGTTAATATTAATAATCCCGATAGTTGTATCGGTGAATGGATTGATAGCGAAGAGTTTTAACCAACATCTCAAGAAGTTCTCTCTAAACAGTTGGATTAAGAGCCCGATACAAAAGACAGTTATCCTAGAAACCGCACGCATTGTTCCTGTCTCTGCAGCCCTGACCACTGGTTGTTTGAGTCATGGGACTCCGCAGCCTTTGGTGCTCTATTTTTAATATAATATATATTGTATATTTTACATATTTTATATTTTTCAATGCATCTGCTGTTCCTCTGGTGTTGTTGATCATCTTGGTGTTCCCGCCACTCGTTTCCCCCTTCTCTTATAAAAAAAAAGATGTATGAAATGTAATATATTAAGAATAAGATAAATGAATACATGAATGAATGAAACAATAATAATAAAACAATGACTAACTATTAGTAATACTGTTACTAGGAATCTGAGTATTAATAATATAGGGGCCATTTTCTTCCTTATTAAACATTATAAATGCAAATGTTTGTATGAATGGAAGGATGGATGTTTGTTACTAGGTATCTCTTGAATGAAGTAATGGATTTTGATGAAATTTGGTATAGGTGTAGAACAGTCTGGGACAGCACAGAGGCTATCTATGAGCCCGGAAATGTGTAAGTTTCCAATGAGATAATTTTTGATCAACATATTTACTTGATAACTCCACTCCGCAACTGTTAAACTTGTAGAAATTTGGCATAGATATGGAACATGATCTCAAGTAACATGTAATATTTTTCAACCTTTATTTTTTAATGCAATGTCTTGGGCAAACACTATTACTTATATCATCAGCTCACTATACATCCCCACCGAGGGGCTCGGAGCCTATCCTAAGTTAAGGGTGATTAGGCCATAGTCAACCACGCTGGCCAAGTGCGGGTTGGTTGACTTCACACATATCTTTGAATTACTTCTCAGATATATCAAGGTTACATCACGATGTTTTCCTTCACCGTAAGAACGTCGGATAAATGTACATATGTAAATCGGAAATCGAAAAACACATTGGTACATGGCGGGATTCGAACTCAGGACCTGCAGATTGCAAGTCAAGTGCTTGACCACTGAGCCACCGACGCTCACACTATTACTTAATAAGATTATATTATTAAAGTAATAGCAAGAAATTCCTATTTTATTTCTTACTGTTGTTATTTTTTTTTCAGTTTAAAATTTGCAAATGTTCTTACGTCTATTTAGGGATTAGTCATGCGCAACTGTCGCTTATAGTAGTTGCGACAGTGGAAATAAGACACACGACTCTAAATAGCGGCCGCGCGCGTTTATCCGCTTAGTGGAAATAGTTGATAGGATTTCGTATTTTCGATATTCAAGAATTTGAAAGTGTATAACAATAATTATCTAGATATTTTATTGACTTTATAACTATAAGTTTGAATAAACCTATAGTTTAGCAGTACTTAAGTCCATATGTCTGCTTCTCACGAATATTCAGGGATGTCCCATACTGAATAATTAATGTGATGTTACCAAGTTACGACATACAAACTATCTGCGTTTATGTCATCCTTATTTAACAACTGAAATCAATATACAATCTCGATCCATATTTGCGTATGTGTGGTTATCAATTTAGTTGAAATTTAATCGATGTAAATATCGTAATGGATATGAATAGAGTAATCTATAGTTTAGAGAGCTGTTGAAAAATTTTCGTACTCTCGTACGAAGTACTCTTTCTAATATTATAAATGCGATTATTTAGAAGGATGGATGTTTGAAAGTATCTCCAGAACGGATGGAATTTGGCATACATATAGAACATAGTCTAGAAGAAAATATGATTTTTTTAATTAGGCACGGACGCAGTCGCGGGCGACCCCTAGTTATAGTTATTTTTAGATCGATTTTAAGGTTCGAATATTGATTTCAACCGATGAAGATGAAATTTCACGTTTAAAAAATCAGTTACTTATTGGTCATGAATATTGTAGGTTTCGTCTTGTGTGACTTGTTTTGTTATTTCAGTTAACCACTGTTCAGTTTACAGACGTATGAACTTTAACATTCAATTTGAATGTATCGTAAATAACGACTCGTGCTGTAGTTTATTTAATGTAATGTATTGATTTATTCGCCTGTACAGCCTTTCGTTACGTCTATCTAGTCTCATACGTTTTTTCTATGTTATTCATTTTAGTCTCTCCAAGTTTAAACTTAAATTTATTGTCGCATTTAAATTAAAGTTTAAAGTTTCTGGAGCTAGGTTTGATTTTCCATCTTTTTGAATGTTATTATCTTTCCTATATACGTAATGTAGCTATAAATAAGCCTCGCGTCATATCTTAAATAATTGCCGATGACCATCTTATTTTCAATTGATTTAATTATATTCAAAAAAAGAGAGTCTTAAGAAAATTCTTCATACAGTTTTAATAATATTTTTTGTCAATATCTGTACAAATTTTCAATTTGTGTGTTATTGTGGTAGCTCGTGTATCCCGCAAGCCTCCTCGCGCTGCGCCACCGCCGCGCCGGGCTCCGCCGCGCGCTGTCCGCCTGCGCTCGGCCTCCGCGGGACGTGACAAGCGCTCCGAGCTTAGGGCGAGATACTGGGCGCTGCTGTTTGGTGATCTTCAGCGAGCCGTGAGTATACAACGAGTTTACTGACGGAATATTGTCGTGTGGCGGTTTTAGTTCTAAAGTACGAGTACTCATAAAGTGAGTTGACGAATCGAAAATTAACTATTCGACTTTTTATATCATCACTCTCTTCTTGAATGAACTAAGATGCAGTGCAAACTAAGTACAGATGTTTCAACAGTGCGTTGTAATTCTAGGAGACCGGGATTCGATTCCTAGGCTAATTTGATTAATTACTTTTTGCATTGCGAAAATTTATTGATAGCGAATTTTACTTGTATATTTAAGATTTAAAATAGCATTTTTAGGGGAAAGGAATTTCTTAAATGTAGTCTAGTAGTTGTCCTATTTTTAATTGTAGACTAGCGATAAAGATTGACAGATTTAAAAGTTCTTAATAACGTTATAAATGCGAATGTTTGGTTGTATGGATGGATGTTTAAAGGTATCTCCAGGACGGCTGCACGGATCTCGCTGAAATTTGGCATAGATTCCTTATAAAGTTTTTTTAATTCCTCGCAAAGGGAATTGCGGACGACAGTTAGTTAATTAATAAAATGCGTAGTTCGATATCTGAAGGTAAATCAAATGATATTGCATATTGCAATTACTTAGACGGGAGTTGGGGGGCTGCAGGGGGTGAGGTGGATATGGGGGGGGGGGCACTGAGTCGATATATCGCGTCCTGCGCACTGCTCCCAACTGTTGCTTACCGAAATGCAACTTGCACATAACTCAAAGCTCTATAGAGTACTTTGTGGTACAGTTGGCACACAGGATAAAAGAGTATGCGTCGTAACCACGTGCCAAGTTATATAACTAGTACTATGCTTAACAAAGGCAATATAAGATTGATTTTAGCTGTAATTGAAAGTCGGTCGCGTATTTTATACTTGTCAATTTTAATGTTTTGTGGGCATGAGTTTCGACTGCAGAAAATTTGCAAAAATATTTGACGTAAATTGTTATCGATTAGTAATATAAATAGATTGCCCCGGATCAGACTCTTTAAAAAGGTCGCGGTATAGTCAGATTTTCAAGAATAACATTTATATCATTCGACTGATAGGAAGATTTATTTTGTACCAAACGAGCCAACAGTCAAACAGTCTCCTGATACGAGTATTATGTGACTTGCCCATAGACATCTAAAACTATCAGGTTAACTGCAGACTTACATTTAATGGTCTGATATTGAGAAAAAGAAAAGAAAAGAACATATTTGGTCATCCTTTTCTCAAATTCTTACATCAGATCTTACTCCTTACTTCTTACTAATATTATAAATGCGAATGTTAAGATGATTCATCCATCTTGGATGGATGTTTGTTGGAAGGTATCTACAGAACAGCTCAACGAATTTCGATATAATTTGGCATACATATAAAACATAGTCTGGAACAAAGAAGGCTACTAATTATTTTTTTTTCAAATTCCGTTCAGACGGAGTCGCGGGCGACAGCTAGTAATTAGATAACAGCACTTCACATATAGAGATAAGACGCAGAGAATATCTACTTCACTCCCATCTTCTTTTACGTTGGTATATCTTTAATAGATGTTGTTTCTAACACTGATAGACATAAAATATGGCAACGCAACTAAAATCACAAAATGAGTTCACTATATCGTCGTCGTCGTGTCTTCAGTCAGTATAAACGAGATAGTGCTACGTATAATTGAAGGAAGCATCTAGTACAGTAAAGGTGACGCTATCGATCCATCGTCCCTGAGTCGTATAGAATAACAGGTGCAAGGCCGTTAAATTATATATCAACTTCATTCTATGATTGATTCTGTTAGATACCGCATGTATGTAACTTGAACGCAATCAAATATGAATAACTAGAAACCAAAGGTCAAAATAAATATAAATTCACGTAAAGATTAATGCATTTTTCAGGTCGGTGAAATTTACAATACAGTAGAAGCCCATGAGAACTTAAACGAGTGCCAAGAAGTAATATTAGTCCTAGAAAATTACACTCGAGATTTTAAAGCTTTGGGTGAATGGTTTCGACTGAAGTGGGAATACGATAATACTCCTCCGCCCCAACGGCCGCAGAGCTTAGCATGGGAGATAAGAAAGACTGACTTCGTCAGACCCGAGTCCCGACGTACACATTCCGTGAAAAGCTCGCCGTCAGTGTCCGGTAAAAACAGTCCCTGTCTCTCCGGACATAATACACCAAGCGGCAAAAATAGCCCGAATTTAACGGGAAAGGCCAGCCCTGGTAGCGGTAAAATCAGTCCAAGGATTTCAACATGCCATTCCAGTACTAGTCCAAAAGCGAATATTGAATTCTTTACCAACAAAGTTGTGTCGAAAATCACAGCAAAACCAGAACCTAAGTCCGCCAAAGAATCGACAAGACTCTCAGATATAAAGGAGAAAGATGTTAAAGAAACAGACGAGAAAATTGAAAACCCTAAAGAGAAAAAATTAAAAGACGACGTCCGAAAGATTGATAATAAGATGGAAAAGGATATTCATAAAGACGTAAAGTCAACTGTCACAGTTGAAATTGGTAAAGCCAAAGAACTACCGACTGTGACTCCAAAACAAGTCGTTATGAAGTCATCAAAATCTAAACTAAATTCGGAAAAAACTAAAAAGTCTGATATTGAATTATCCAATCAAGCTAAAACTACCATTTCACAATTAGAAGCAATGGAGAATGAGCTCTTGACAAAGCAATTAATACAGGTGAAAGTAAAAAATGATAATTTCTTAAATGAAGAAAAGGAAAGTCAAAGAGAAGAAATGATTCAAGAAAATTCTGTCAATGAAATGACTTCTATTGATGGCAAAATTGTTGTACAATCAGATATCGATACATCACGTTTAGAATCTAATGAATCTCCTACAAAATCTGAAGAAAACTTTGCTGATATATCCAATGAAAGTTCGCCAAAAACTTATATTGGTAAAGGTGAAAAACTACCTACTCAAATAATTAAAAACGACAATGGAGAAAATATTAATAATGACAATATTAAAGACGCAAATTCTCTTGTCATAGACGAAACAAATATAACACATGAAAATCAAAAAGCAGTAAACGATGACATCTGTGATGTGACAGAATCAACATCTGAGATAAATAATGCAGATGAGACTCAACAAAATGGTCCGCGAAGTTCGGAAGTGACCAACATATCTTTGAAAAAGAATCAATGTAACACGAATGAGACAGTTGTTAATGATATGAATAAAAATGAAATATTAGAAAATGGTGAAATTCATGATGCAAATTTAGATGACGATCAGTCAGGAGTCACTAATACTACTTCGGATTGCAGCACAAATAATAAAACTAAACCTACAAATGAACCAAAAGGTCCGGATAAACAATCTGAACATATAAAGAAAACTAACGTAGAAACCAAAGAAGAATCTAAAAAGGAACATGATCCAAAAAAATCAGAAAGTAAACCTATGGTAGAATCAAAAACAAACATAAAACCTGCTTATTCTCAAGCCGCAGCTAAACCTAAATCATCAAATGTTGTCAAAACTGAAATTAAAACACCTACTAGAACTGCTTTGATTAGAAGTTCGACTGTCGTAGAAATGCGACCGAACACTGCACCAAAAACTCAACGACCATTCCAGAAAAGGAATCAAATAAATAAATGCAGCTATCCTTTCAATTTGACAACTAGTCGAACTACGCTATTTCAAACTCCATCGACTACTAATACTGTAAATAAGGTACCATTACCTAAACGACCAATAAATAGAACCAATCATTTAGCTTCTGGTGATACTAAAGCTATATCTAATAGAGGAAACATTAATAAGAGACCAAGACCTACTTCTTTAAAAATGAATGGGAAAGGAGACAAGAAAGAAAGCGCAAACACTACATTAAATAAAATAAAAGATTGCGATGAATACAGCAGTTGTGATACAATTGTTACTCAAATAGACATGTCTAGAATTGAATCAAGCGAGAGCTTGAAGACTTTAGTACCGGATGACACACAATTGCATGATATCGCAAATTCGATAGAAGTTCTTAATGTCGACGATAAAAATGATAATGAAGGATGGTTAACTGTCAAATCTAAACGCTTGAGTCGCGAATCCAAGAAGCAATTGAAGTCTCACTGGGCGAACCGGTTCAACCAACCTTCAGCCACAACTAGTTTGCCGACGTTAAACATGTTATCGCCTAAAGAAGAAAGTAACGCTATAGTAGAATCAGCTAAAATTACAAAAATAGATCGCGCAAAATCAGAACAACCGGAGACTGCTAAAGTGGAGCGGAAAGTTGAAAAAGTCGTTAAAGTACTAACCACACCAAAAGCAGAAAATAAGGCTAAAGATCCAGCGATGATTCGTCAAAAGTCAGATGTAACCGGCCTTAAGACAAAACCCTCGAGGACCAGACTGACTAGAAGAGCCGGGAAAATTAAAGACGCGACTAACGTAGAACAATCTGAGTTGACTAAGAATAGACTACATTCGTCTTTGGAAAGTCTTACAACCGGTCTAGCTAGATCCCAAGAGAGTACTGAGGAAGCGTTCGATTTTGATAAATGGAAAGCTGAGTTTAAATCTACATTTAAATATTTAGACGACGACGATCAAACTTCGAACGATACTGAAATATTGAAGACTGCAGATCCATCAGAAATGTCGGAGATCGCAGAAATGACGTCACAGATAGAAGAGAACGAAAAGAAAATGGACTGGGCTTTAGATCTCCAATCGGAGGCGGACCAGAAGAAGCTTTGCGAAGAAGAGGATCTTCTGAACAGGCAGATAATGGAGTTGCAGCAAGTTTCAGACATCGATGTCGACACCGAGACAGACGATACAGAGGTAAGTTTAAAAAAAAAACATTTTAAAGATTTTAAATGATTATATGTCAGTTGGTTTTATGAATTTTTAAATTATCTATTACTTGTACTATATTCCAGACAGACGCAGAGATCGTGTGCGAAGATGTAGGTAACACGTTAGCGCCGTCAGAAAGTCTGGGCTCGCTGGCGGCCAGCCTGGAGGATCAGTACGAGACTGCCCTTGCGGGCATGAGCTGGGCAGAGAGGGTTGATACATTAGGTGTTCTGGAAGCGCTCGTTGCTAGAGATCCAGGTGCATATTAGTTAATTAATTGAATAATTTATTATTTGTTTTTTTTTTTATATCATGAGGTGGCAAACGAGCGAGCGGCTACCTGGAATCGCTGAAGTAGCGAAGTGACCGTTGCCCATAGACATACGCAATTGCATATGCGTTGCCTACCTTTAATCAACGGAGGAGAGGATGCACAGAAAGAAAATATTTTCCCTTTCCATGCATCTTCTCATCCGGAAAGTCCACTTCCACTTCCCATCATTTCCTTATTAGAAAAGGGTGGGAAGGGAAAGAGGACTAAATTAGGCCTCCGGGACGCACACTCATCAGACGAAACGCGGAATAGCTTCCACTTCACGCCTGTTTTCTGTGTGGTGGTGATATTTCACCGGACGAACCTGGCCAATTCGTGCGAAGATGTTAAAGCGGGTTCTACCACTCTTAACTTGTGTAATTAACTGAATAATTAATTGATTAATTAATCGATTGATTAATATTTTCCAGGACGAGCACAGCAGCTTCACGCAAAACTTTCCCAGGGTATTAAGCGACGTGGAAGTCTCCAAGACGCCTTGCGAAGGTATGCTTAATATATGGTATTATTCATATTAACTTCTGCGAAGTGACCGAGTTATATATAATTTGAATGTATTTCTAGCATTCAAGCCAAACAAGCAAGAGCTGAACAAAAGAGAAGAGAGTTGCAGATGGAGAGATCTAAAAAGTTACAGCAGTTGTTAGCAAGAGTCGAGGAAGTAAAGGTAATAATTTAGTATAGTATTTTGCTTTAAAATACGACAAAAATGAAACTAATAATTTCACTCTGTAAAAAAATAGAGAGCTTAAGTTCCAAATGTGATTAATGGATATTTTATTTTTACAATTATTCTCTTTTCCTGGTAAATAGTATACTTGCAGGTGGCCAAGGATCAACTGATAGACGACAAGAAACTGAGGATCAATCGTCGCTTGGCGAAAGCTGCTGAAAATCGGGATCAACACTTAAAGGTAATTTTTTTACTATTTTGAATACTTGGCAATTTGGTTAGGAGTAAAAAATATTGTAATAATCTGTTGTACCGAATTAGTAATTCATCATCAGCTCACTGTACGTCCCCACCGAGGGGCTCGGAGTCTACCCTAAGTTAAGGGTGATTAGGCCATAGTCAACCACGCTGGCCAAGTGCGGGTTGGTTGACTTCACACATATCTTTGAATTACTTCTCAGTTATGTGCCAGGTTGCATCACGATGTTTTCCTTCACCGTAAGAACGTCGGATAAATGTACATATGTAAATCGGAAATCGAAAAACACGAATACAAATGCTAATTAGTATTATATTATACTTAATCCCATATATTTTGATCGTGAATATTGTATTTATATTTGTAAGAATGGTCTCTTGTTTGGTGTTATAGACTGGAACCACTTAGAGTACCTCAAGGTATCAACAGTTTCTCTGGATTTGTAGCTCTCTTTTTGTCTTGTCTTGTGTTCATTTATTCTCTTTGTCTTGAAACATATGATAACTTTCCAGGGTATAGTGAGGAAGGCTCACGACGAGGAGGAGAAGCTGCGCGAGATCGCGTTCATAAAGCAGCTGGAGGCGGAGAACCGCCGGCTGGAGTTCCTCGCGCAGTGCCGCGCTCACACCACGCGTCTGCGCACCATGCGCCGCGAGCGACTCGAGAAACTGGTCTCCCTCTCATATTTACTCAATCATTATTTTGTTAATTGATTAATTCATTAGTTAATCAATAAGTTAAAAAGTTAATTAATTGTAATTAATGAAATAATTTATTAATTACAATTAATTAAACAGTTAATAGTCAATAATTAATTGATATGTTTATTAATATTTTGTTTAAATGAATATATAAGTTGAGCGGTAAGTAGTTCCGTGGGGCTCTGTCATGTCTTGGAATGTAAGAAGAGTAGTGAGTTATGGTGCAGGAGGAGAAGTCAGCGCGCGAGGCGGCGGTGTGGGACCGGCGACGCGCGCTGGAGGCGGCCCGGCTGCACCGCGTCCACTCCCTGGTGCAGCGCCGCCGTCTGCTGCACGAGCGCGCCCAGGGCATGCGCGACCTCCGCAGGCAGGAGAGGGACGACGCAGCCAGGGAGAAGGTCTCACTCTACACACCACAACTAATGCTGGACACATCACCAACAAAATAACTGCAATACTTCAATAATACTATCCATTTGGTGAATTTCGATAGTTCCCAGTTGTTGTGGGCGACACTCCGACACTATGACAAACGTCCATTAAGTATAACATTAATCCTCATACAAAATTAATTCGATACTTTATAGACGTCACTTGTCAAGCTAATCTATTTTAAATATGAAACAGTATAGCATGTATAAGGAAAAAGGTATATAGAAGATATATACAATAATAATGTAGGTTATGTGTTAGGCGGAAGGTGTAAAGTCGCGGCTGTCAGCGCTGGCGGCGGCGGCGGAGCAGGAGGCGGACGCGCTGCGCTCCCGCATACGAGACAAGCAGGACGCCAGCCAGCAGCGACTGGAGCAGCATCTCCAGGCTGTCAGGGAGAAGGCCACTGGACCCAGGCAGCCGGTCAGTCGTACTCAGATCACATCATCACCTACCTACCGCCCCTACCCTGTCGCCCGCCACTTTGTTCGCGCTGGATTTAGAATAGATAGTAAAAGATTCCTAGAGATATTCTCTATATATAGAACTAGCGGTCGCCCGCAACTCCGTCCGCGTTGGTATATGAAAAATTTAGGGGTGGACTACCCTTAACAATTAGAGGGATGAAAAATAGATGTCCGATTTGTCAGAGCTAGTCAATATGCTCACAAAATTTCATGAGAATCGGTCAAACCGTTTCCGAGGAGTATGGAAACCAAAATTGTAACACGACAATTTTATATATAAGATATATTTTGTTATATACATTAACTATGAATTATATATTATTATATATGTATATATAACATGGTATATATAGTATGTTGGGGCATTAACAGGGTGTGAGGGTAAAGGTGAGCGTCGTGCGAGTGTCGGTAAGTTGAATGTTACTTCTGCTTACTATATCTTCGCTAATAATCTTTGTATGTGTTCAATATGTTAACATATAGTAACTATTTATATGTATAATTACTAAATTAAATGCTTTTATTTATGTATATAATAGCTGGAATTAAAAAAAAACTTAGTAGTCTATGTGTTCTTTCAGACTATGTTCTATATCTGTGCAAATTTTATCAAAATCCGTTGAGCTGTTCCGCAGATATCTTGAAAATAAAACGTCCATCCAACTAAATGTTTATAATATTAGTAAGATATTTGTGTTTATTTATGGTAAAATATACATTTGTCTGATTATAGTCGCATAGGTATATTTAATTTTATAGAAGAATATCATCATCAACCTGACCTTATCCCTATCGAGGGTCGGCACAGTATGTACTACTCCTCCATACATCTCTATCAGCCGTCATATCTGGATCTACCCTCTTCTTACGCATATCCTCTTTCACACAGTCATTCCATACTTTTTTGGTCTTCCTCTACATTTGTAGCCATCCACATTCAATCTCATTACTTTTTTGCTTATATCATCATCATCATCATTTTATAGAAGAATATGCATATCGTCATGCCTGTCTTTTTTGACAAAACTGAAAAAATAATATGTTTTAAAAAAAGAAAGTGGTCTTAGAAACCCACAGTTAGTAGTGTGAATATGGATTACTGATTTCAAATCGAAAATTAAGACTTAATATGTGTTTGGCAATAACTATTACTATCGCGTGTACGAATTTATGTTTGTATATTTTCTAATGTGTTATTTCGGCCGATTAAAAATCAATTGAGCTTCTTTTTTAATTATTTTTTTAATATCTAAATGAAAAATATTGAATGTAATAAATAACGTCAAATAGAACTTTAATTCAAAGTATTGTTTCTCAGACGACGTCAGAAAGTCACGAACAGAACGAAGAGGAGGAGGCGAAGCGATACGAGCAGGAGAGAAGAGAGAGGGAGAAGCAGAAGAATATCAAGAAGAAAGCGAGGAAATTGAGACTTAGGTTGCTTAACACGTAAGTTGAATACATAAGTTAGAGCTGACTAGGCTATAGTCAACGCTGGTCAAGTGCGGGTTGACTTCACACATGTCTTTGACTCTCTCACATATGTGCAGTATCACTGCTTTCCTTTACGTATCCCAAAAACACATTGGTACAAGCCGGGATTCGAATGTAAGACCTGTAAGTAAGTCAAGTGCTTAACCCCTGAGCCACCGACGTACTCAATGATTTAATTTACATATTAACTAATTGTTGCCTTCGATTCCGGAATTAAAAAACTTAATTAGTAGACTATGTGTTCTTCCATACTATGTTATATATTGTTAGTAAGAAAATCCGACACAGAGCCGGTTTACTGGCGCAACACTATCCTTGCTTAAATATCATTTATGTCCCCCTCACTAATCATTCTGACACTCGGTAATGAAAGCGCTCCATTCTTTTTTTTATATCATAAGGTGGCAAACGAGCGAGCGGTCATCTGAAATCGCTGAAATAGCGAAATGACCGTTGCCCGTTGCCATAGACATACGCAATTGCATATGCGTTGCCTACCTTTAATCCACGGAGGAGAGGATGCACAGGTCGCATCCTTTCCTTATAAGAAAAGTGTGGGAAGGGAAAAAAGACTAAATTAGGCCTCCGGGACGCACACTCATCAGACTGCACGCGGAATTGCCTCAACTTGAGGCGTGTCTTCTGTGTGGTCGTGGTATTTCACCTGACGAGCCGGGACTATTCGTGCGAACATGTTAAAGCTCGCTCTACCACATTCGCGTCAAAAGATTTTAATTAATAATCTCTAAAAGTATGTATACTAAATTTTATCAAAATCCGTCGAGCTGTTCAAGAGATACCTTCATACTAACATCCATCTAAACATTCCCATTTATAATATTAGTAAGTTAAATAATAATTTGTAGGAGTCACAATGAAGATCAGATTCCAACTTACGATCATATCGGTATACCTTTTGGTAACAAAATGTTCAAAGTTATACAACAGATTTCAAACATCATCACACCTTTATGTGATGAACAAGATACGATGAAACAGAATGGCGACAACGATGAAAAAACTAAAAATAAGAAAGTCTTAAACGGAGATGTTGACAAACAAACTGACAAACAAAATGGAATAGAAAATAATAATAATACAGATATTAAAATAATAAAAGAGAAAGTTGAATCGAAAAAGAAGAAGAAGAAGAAAGATGGAGACGGCGGGAAAGAGAATGCGAAGAACAACGCGCCTTCAGTGTGCAGCTCACAAAGTGATACTTCTAGAAGTAGTAAGAAGGAGACGAAACTCTGCGTCACATTTGATCAGGTCCTTTTGGAAAGGAATCTTAATGAATTATACAGAATGATAGAAAAAATTGATAAGGTATGTATACTTCTTTACGATTTTTAACTTGCTTTTTCTCTTGTAAAAGTAACCTATGTGTTCTTCCAGAGTATGTTCTATATGTGTACGACAGTTCATTGAAATCCATCCAGACGTTCTGAATGTAACTTCTAATAAACATCCTTCTATTCAAACTTTTGCGTTTATAATATTAGTAACTAGCTGTCGTCCGTGACTCCGTCCAGGTTTAATTAATAAAAACACTATGTTCTTCTAGACTGTCTTCTACATGTATACCAAATTTCATCAAGATCCATGCAGCCGTTCTGGAGATACCTTCAAATAAACATCCATCCGTTTAAACTTTTCAAAAATATATTAATACTTGTCTATAAGTGTAACTGTGGGTTTCCGAGACAAAAATTACCGTTTAAAACATGTTATCTCTGTTTCGTGAGAGACACTCAGAAACGTACAGTTAGAGATATGTGGGTGAATGGTGTAGCATGTGTGTGTGACAGTTCTACCCCGAGGTGTCGGTGTCGGGCAGCGTGAGTGCGCAGAAGATGTACGGTCTCCGAGCTGTGGGTCACATGCTGGCGCTCGCCTCGCAGAGAGAGGACCTGGCCGCGCACTTCACCGCCAAGTTAGTAACCACACAACACAAGGGACATATAGGGTAGGGGAATCTTAATAGATACTTTACTTCTAGCAGAGAACGTAGAGGATGGGAGCTTTTTTTGGTATCGGGGGGGTAATCTTCGTAAGATACCCTGCCTTTTGGGGAAAGACAGGGTTATGTGAGATTCTTACTCACTAAAACCCCCTCGGTGGCCAACTTCAAGTGCGACTGCGAGGGTCCCGGGAGATCCAAAGGAACGCACCGGAAAGGATGGAACCTGGGAACACTATGTTTGAAAAACTGGCTTAGAATTAATCCTAATTCATCAATATAAGGATAAATTCGTTATATGGATTAAAAGACAAAAGAGTTTATATTTTCAAAGTTAACCGGTTTTAGAAGTTCCTTTTTCATACAAAATCTACAGATGTCGATTTGATGAAGCGAGTCGGGTGATTAATTTGTGTTAAATGTATCTCGCTTGTCAAACTCGTTATTTACCTTTGTTGCACGTGTGTACTCATCATCATCAGCTCACTATTCGTCCCCACTGAGGTGCTCTGAGCCTACGCTAAGTTAGTGACTGGGTCATAATCAACACAGGTCCAGTGCGGGTTCACTTCACTCATATCTTTGAATTTCTTCACAGAAATGTGCAGCATCACGATCTTTTCCTTCACCGTAACAACATAGGATAAATGTACATATGTAAATAATTAGTACCCGGTTAGATTCGTACCCCGGGCTCGGCATGAGGTATATTGAACGTGTGCAGGTCGCTGTGCACCGGTGTGGCGCTGGTGTCGGTGTGTGCTGGTGCGTACGGCTCCCTGGCTGCGCGGCTGCTGCGCTCCCCTGTCGCCGTGCATCTCGCCACGCTGCTGCACGTCACACTGGTCTGTATGCACACGCCTCGCACACCTCGCACACTGCACACACTGCACACAACTCATACACCGCACACACTGCACACACTGCGCCACCTCATATTCTGCACACACTGCACACTCTGAAATTGCAAATTGCCACGGATAGCAGTTGGTTTGCTATTTCGGCGATTTTAAATAGTCGCTTGATCGTTTGCCATCTTATGATATAAAAAAAATCCTTAAAATTAGTTGATTGCGATTTCTAGATTGGTTAGTTTTGAACCCAATAGTTCATTAAAAACGGGAATAAACAAAATTAGTTTAAGTTCAAATCGATCAGCTTCCCTTTGCGTCTCAGAATGATTGAAATATTTGTAATTATACGGTTTTCGTATTATTCAATAACCGAAAAAAAGTTTTAAACGTGCATAGATAAAATTACTATTGGTTACTGAGACTAAAAACTCTGTATAAAACATATTGTATACTATCTCTGTCGTTATCTTTGACATATCAGATATAAAAATATGCTTTAAAAGTGGATTTTCGTCTCGGATCTCCACGGTAATTCGTGGAAGTAGAGTAAGTAGTGCCAGAATGCTACATAAACTTTTACGACATTTAAAATGTTTGTTGTTTGTTTTTGTTTCTTTGAAAGGGTTCATTGCAATTTTCCGATCGCTAAATTTTGACGACTTTCCTTCAATCACGTTTCATAAGAAAAAGTTTTTTTTATTGTCTCAAACATTATAGAAAATATTTATTATGATTTTAGATAAATCTTGTATTGTTTTTCATTAATTTCAGTTAAATTATTAATTTCTTAGATTTTTAAAAGGCTCCAAGTTCAATACGTAAAAATAATAGTAGCATTGAATGTGTTAAACCAAAACTTTTATAAAAACTAGTTTTTATATTATAAGGCCACAACAGAGTTCCTTGCCCACAGAAATACGCAAATACAGATGCATTGACTACCTTAAATCGACGAAAGAGGATATACGTCCTCTGTCATATCCACTTCCCCTTTCCTTCCTTTCCTTATAAGGGTAAAAATTGAAAGAGGACTGATGATAAGCAATCTAGAACAATCTAAATATGATATATAACACCGTTATATATTTGAATGTTACCAATTGAATGTGTTACATTTATGAGCACTATGTTCTCCCTCCATACTTCAGATGCATAACCTCGTCTATATCTTGTTGAGGGAGTCTACACCTTGCGATGTAGGGCTGACACTTTTACACATAAATATTTCAAGTAAAATAATTCATATTTCGAGTATAATGTGTCTTTTTGCGATTTAAAAGAATTATTTTTTTGTCTTGTTAGTGAAGCTTTAGCCGATAAATTTAATAATACAGTAATTTTAATCAAATAATTCAGAAAGTTGTAGTAAATGTTTGAGATTTGAAACAAAGTTTCTATGACCATATGTAGAAAAATGTACATCAACGAAAACTATTATGATAATTGAATTTACTTATTATTAAAAGTCCCGTCCATACAGAATAATAATAACTTTACTAGAAATAACATATCAATATGCAATAAATTTACAAAACAATAATAAAATATAAAAGTGACAGCCCTGGCGTCGTTGTCGTCAACAGAAGGGCGTCTTTAAAAGCGTCGCCTAATGCATTGGGGAGCGTTTGATTCGTCTACTCCACTCGCCCTGTCTAATAACATTCACTCAAACATATTTATAATATTATAAAGTGAATTAAGTTAACATTTTCGACAGTGAAATTAAAAAAATATATAAATGAATTTGTTTAAACTGTATTTAAAATTGTTTTTTTTTTAATTTGGACTTTTTACAAATTAGGTCTTATCGTAAACATGGTAATACGCAGAATAACTGGATTTTTTTATTAGTTTGTGTTATCGACCGAGCCGTTAAATTGCTACAAGATATATTCTATAGCTTTTCGGAATTTTTTAAATTGTTTAATAATTAAATTAAAAAAAGTTTTATAGTTCTGCAACAAGTGGGGTAGACAAACATATGTAACATTATCCTATTTAAAGATTTTAAGCTCATATGCTGATGACAAGGGTCAAAACTAGCGCCAGTATTCCGTAAAAACTAAAAAATATTTGATACTAAATAAATATAATTATGCAAATTACTAAGAAATTAAAATTTGTTTTATAATTTTAACAACATAGTATTACTTTGTTTCAAATAAATATTCGCGAAATATCGCTTTTCTAAAATCAAAGTCTTAAAAATACTGTTATTTTTTAAGGTGAACGAGATTATAACTGACTTTAATCACACATCGCGCTTTTGCCTCGTAAACAAATAGATTTATGTTGGACGTAAGTAAAAAATAAAATTAAGACAAGATTTCAACGCCGATAAAAATCGATTATTACCTTTATCTCGCCATCTCTGAACCTTTTTAATTACGAGCGTGTTACATTTTAAACAAAAAAATATGCAAAACAGCATCTTTTATTAATTGTTTACGTATTTTTGAGTAGCTTACATTTCTTGCAGATAGATTCACAGAAAAAAAAACAAAAAATTAATTATTTTTTTACAATAATAAAATTCTTAAGTATGCACATAATAATTAGGTCTCCGGACTTAATGTCGTTTAAATTCTTATTATTTGGTAATTAAATGTAAACAAACAGCGTTTTTATAATTACCGATGTGAAAATAACGGATCTTTAGGAATTTTTATCTCGGTTAATATTGCCCAACAAACTGTAATATTGTTTTTAATGTGCTATCGGTAAATTCATACTTGTTTAATAATGAAAGTTGCCAGAATGTGTTTGTACCAATACCCTTTGTAATACCGAATTAGGAGAAAGAATTCACACTCGTGACCCATTGGAGTAGACAGTAAATATGACTTTTTTATGTCCTTTTTTTTTATTTTACTTTATTTTACTTAAAATTTGTGTTATGCGACAACTATAAAAATAATTCGTATAATTTAGTACTTGTACAAGTACGGGTCACGATTTAAACGCTCCCCGCACGTTTCGTCTAGTATTCTTGATATAACGCACGCCACTTTTCGCCCTTAAGTGTTTTCTATACTTGTACGCTATTTTGAACCTAAAATACAGACAAAAGTATAAATAACCTAGCTGTCGTCCGCGACTCTGTCCGCGCGAAATAAAATAAAACATAATTAGTAGCTTATGTGTTCTTCCAGACTATGTTCCATGTGTGTACTAAATTTCATCAAGATCCGTTTAGCTGTTCTGGAGATACCTTCAAACATATATCCATTCATCTAAACATTCGCATTTATAATATTAGTCTTCTTCTTGAGGTGCCTCTCCGACTAACGTTGGCGATTAGTTCTCCATAATATTAGTAAGATTCGTAACAAAATGATATTTTTCTCGCTACAATTGATTCGCGATATTATGTTGAATGTTACAAAATTTATTACACACTAGCCTAATGGTTAAGGGTACGGATTTCCGATCACGATACGAGAGTTCGAATCCTGCCATTCGACTTTTATCATAAACCATATCCTAACAAGCCTATAGCTTAGTTAGAATGTTGCCGTATAAAACATATTGTTCCATGACCATAGGATATATAAAACAATCTGTGTTTTGTCAATAATGTTAGCGATGATATGACGATATATATAGATATTTTGGTATCAGAAACCCACGGTTAATTGTGTAATCTTGGGTACAGGAAAAGAATCTTCAAGACGATAACAAAGAGACGGAACTGGCGCGCTACTTGAGTGACTGCTTGTCTGTAGCCCTGGACTCCGTGCTGTGTGCCACACGACTGTATGAAGATGGCTCCAGCACTGAAGATCCTAAAGCCATCAGTGCTTTGAGGAATAGAGCACATTTGATCATCAGGTAAGTAAAATAACTATTCTTATGTGTTAGGAGAGAATTGAATGAATAGTTTCTTGGTTAACCTTTTGATGGAATAATATTTAATTTAATTTAGTTTGAAATAGCTGTAAGACTTAACGGAATATTTAAAAACTTAGTAATCTATGTGTTCTTCCTATGTTCTACATCTATGCTAAATTGTACTGAGATTCATGCAACGGTACTGGAGATACCGTCTAACAAACATCCATCTAAACTAAACTGATATAAACACGGCTAAACACTCACGTATATACGTCCGGTGGCGGCACCGACTAGTTTCGAGCCCATCGGGGGCCCTTCATCAGGATGAGCGGTACTGGTATTATTTCGCGGACGCGGCGAAGGGCCCCCGATGGGCTCGAAACTAGTCGGTGCCGCCACCGGACGAATATACGTGAGCGTTTATATATCAGTTTAGTATAATGTCTCACGAAAATTTGAATAATTTAATCCATCTAAACATTCCCATTTATAATATTAGTAAGATGATTGTTTTCTTATTATAATATAAACAGTATAATGATAATTAAATTCAATACCAATTCGAGATTTAGTTCGTCATCTTTTTTAGCCCACTTTAAAAAAAGAAAGTTGTCGATTCGTCTGTTTTTTTTTGCGTAATTTAAACTCTTTGGTTAGAATAATAATTTTGCGTGTTTATCCCATTCATAACATCAAATAACATCTCTATTTAATATTAATTAAGGAAATTAATAAACGGTATAAATTATTTATTAAGTAAACAAATACTAACAATGAGTTTCTGAGACCAGAGAACAATATGTTGTAAAAGGGGATTTTAGACTCGGAAACCTACGGTAAACGAAGTTTATTTTTAATATGTCTAAAATTATTATGCATATTTTTTGTTTGCACGTGTCGTCTAAACTATTTTAAAACATATTATAATAATTAAAGGAATTTTTATTTAAATTCAAAGATGTTAAAGTCTATTTTACTTTATCACATCTTAGAAGGTGTGACCTACCTTTAGGCATTGTTATCTAATTTGTCTAATGCACTCACACGACGCCCCTCTAATACCAAGGGTTGCTTTTACAAGGGTTAAATATCTTCCAAATTGATTTATACCTTATCGTGTTGTGTTAAGGTTGACTTTTGTAAACAAAAATCAAGGTTTTATAGGTTTGTTACTGTCTAGGAGTATTCAAGTTACGACTAACCCTTTGATGATATGAATTTAATTTGGTTAATTAAATTGAAGATTCCTTTTGATACTGTCATGGAAAAAATGCGCAAGGGTTTAAATTGTACATTTTGGTACAACTGATTAATTTGAGGTAACAAAAGGCAATATGATGTTCACTTAGATATATGTAACTTGCTGTAGAGTTGAAATAAATCTTAATACTAACTGAGAGTTTCTGAGACCAGAGAACAGTATGTTGTAAAAGGGGATTTTAGTCTCAGAAACCTACGGTAAACGCAGTTTATTTTTAACATGTCTAAAATTATGTCTATGTGTTCTTCTAGGCTATGTTCTATATGTATGCCAAATTTCATCGAGATTTGTCAAGCAGGTTTGAAGTTACCTTCAAACATCCATCCATCTAAATATTCGTATTTATAATATTAGTAAGAGTAAACAGTTGCTTTAGAATACATTTCTACAGAGATTTAATCTACATTAAAGTGGGTCTAAATGATTAGTTAACAATTCTGAGTGCAATAGTAAATCTTTCTATATTTATCTTCTAACTTACTGTCGTCTCTGACAACTTAGTAGCCTATGTGTTCTTCCAGACTATGTTCTACATCTATGCCAAATTTCAGTAAGATCCATGCAGCCGTTCTGGAGATATCTTCTAATGAAGATCTATCCATATAAATTTTCTATTAGTAAATTTGTTGGTCCTTCGAGTCTATTCATGAATAGCCAAGCGTTATGTCACAGCAAAACAAAACAAACGTCAATACGCATTTTACAATCAGCGAAGTGCTTTATTTTAATTAAAACAGCTATTTAACAATACTCTCTCCCCTTATCACAAATGTTCGTTGTGAAAACGCATTGTGTTCGATGACATTGCATTTTGCCAAGTGAAATTTAATTAGATCTGTTTTCATTAAATAAATATGGTGTATTTTATAGTCTAAGAGCTATTAGAATTTTATTATATAAACATTTTCTTATGTAACTGGTTGTAGTTCGTGATTACATCAGCTTAGAATTAAAATTAATCTTTTAGGTGCGCAACTAAGTTCTCGCTGTTTGTCAGTAGATGGCTCTAGCAGTAAGAGCTGGGCGATTTTGACATATCCAAACCGTCATGAATCAAGCTTAGACATATGGTAAACAAACCGTTACGACACATGAGTGATTTTGTTTTCGCATATACATCTGGTCAAGTAAAAATGTCGAATAATATGCCCGCGTGTGTCACCTATCTTCACGTCCAAGTCCTGTCAAAATTGGTCTACCCTTTGCAGAGTTAATCAAGAACAAACGCGGGTTTGCTTTCGTACAGACTATTTTGATTTTTTTTTTAATTTGATTTTTTTTGCGATATAATATACTGACACTCCAATTTTATTAATATGTATTGATGTAAATATATTAAATACATACTTTTGAAACTCGTAATTTTGTAAGCAATCTTTTATAATTTTTCTTTTAATTAACTCTTTGACTAATGTGGTCATGTCTTGTCGGGATATTTTTATGCTTTCTCTTAGTTTTCCATATTCTAAACATATGTACAAAATTTTAGTGTTTTCATAGAAAATAGATAAAAAAGCGAATATTTAATCTCTGTTCTTTTTGTTTAATATAATTGTGATATAGTTAATAACGTCTGTATTTGTTAATTTGCTGATCTTATAAATTAATAAGTGACCAGTAAGTACACTTAAACCCTGTGGGTTTTTAGTACTGCTGTCTAACCGATGTTTAATTTGTTATGTGAAGTTTTTGTATAATATATAAAAAAAAAAACAAATTATATGATATAAATATACGGTCACTTAAACATGGGTAATTTTAAGAAAATACAATATGAACACTTCACTGGGTCCCAATGTGCTGTGAACAGAGTGCCATGTGCCAATTCGGCGTCAATGAGTTCCATTGTTGCCATATGGACGTTGCGACCCACCGGCAAACTTGACAACCCTATTGCCACAGTCTAATGCAGTAGGACAACTTGACTTTTTATTGTGTTGTACTAAAACTTTTGGCTGTGTTTGGATTATTATTATTTACGCATTTATATCGAAATTTGATTTAATTCTCTATTATTTTAAGAGTTACATTCTTAGGAAGCCAAAAAATACTTCGTAAAGCGAAACTTAATTACAGTATTTATTTTTTTAATAAACTAGATGTTATGATTCTACTAGATATTATATTTTGGGCAGACAAATGTCAGTTTACTGTTAAAGTAGTGTAGAATAGTTCGCGCTAATTCCTCGTTACCCTAAGGGCCTACAATTTTATAAGGAACAACGGCTTAACTTTAGGATTACCGTTACCAGATTAGGATTTTGACATTATTAATTAAATTTTATTATGTATTAGAACTCATGTTATACGTCTTTTCTTTTTGGAAAAAAATTGTTTTAATTAGTAGTTTAATTTTAAAGTGGTACTACTGCGTCCGTACTCTGTGGCAATAGTAACAAGGGGTTGATATGCGTTACAGGATAGCATTACAAGTGATTATTGATTTAATCGGAATAATCAGCGGATTGCGATTCGGATACTAAACGATAAGTTACGGTAGCTTAACACTCTGTTTGTTTTATTACCCTATGATAAGTTAAACATATGTTAGAATCAAGTATTTTATTTTAATAATATCTATATTGAAATATTAAGTTATTAAACATAAATAAAATCATTATAAGACTTATCGTGGGTTTCTGATACCAAAAATACCCGTTTAAAACATATGTTTTGTTAAAAAAGTTAAAGAGATTTCCGTCTCAGATACTAACGGTTAATTGTAATGACTGAGTACGGCTGTTAGGTTTAACTCTTATCCCCCGTAATGTTAGTTACAATGTTTAGATGCGTTTTGTTACTATTTATCTATTATTACTTGTCCTGTATTCGTAAATATGGTTAGAGCGAAATAACTGTTTTTAAGCTTTGTCGGATTACGACAGTTACGAAAAACAGCTTTTTATAAAGTCCTCAGCTTAAAAACCTATAGAAGTATGAGGTAACACTTTGGTATCAATTTGCCATTGATTTTTAAGTTCTAAAAGTATCAGGAACTACTTGAAAGTGAATTAACAATGGGTTCGAACCTCGCGAATATAGTTATCCTCTTAATACGATTGCCACTTGGGTTTCAATAATGCTATTATGTTCTTCATCGGAATGCCATTTCCAGTTTGATTGGGAAATTACGTTTGATGATTTCTGTACTTATGTGGTACTAGCTATCGCTTTAACTCCGTCCGCGCGTGATTAAAAAAAAAAACTTAATTAGTAGATGTGTTCTTACAGACTATGTTCTATATCTATGCCAAATTTCAGCTAGATGCATGCATGCATCCATCCAAACATTCGCATTTATAATAGTTCCGGGATGACCGAGCTTTGCTCGGTATTTTTTAAATTGTGCTTTTTGGAAATTATATTTAAGTACGAATTACTAATAAAATGATGAAATATGAATAATATTTTTCGATCTTACCGATAGAAAAAAGTTAAGTTTATGTTTAAGTTGATTATCGATAAAACATGAATAAAATGACATTTTCTATAAATGATTCCTAGCTAGATCGATTTATCGCCCCCGAAACCCCCTATATACTAAATTTTATGAAAATCGTTGGAGCCGATTCCCAGAATTCCAATTATATACATATACTAGCTGTCGACCGCGACTCCGTCCGCATGAAATTAAAAACAGCTTAATTATAATAGTTCACAGCAACTATTCGAATTTTTCTCACCTTTTAAACCTTGCCTAGACCTCCACGAACATTTCAAGACCAAGATAAAATAA